TGTACTCCATAAAAAAAAAGTGAAGATACCAGACAAAATTGACAACACTAAATTTAATATAGAATTTCAAGTAGTTATCTCCCTGTTTTTTAGTAAAACATCATCAAAAAGAGCAGGAACAGCTCTGGATATAGCAAGAGACAGTGGAGTGATGATTAAGCAGTCTGTCAAACTTGACTTCACCAGCTCTAGGCATTACTGTGTAAACATTGTGGACAATGAGAATAAAAGTCCAACTTACTCTGATCAGATATTAGACCAAGCAGACAAAATTAACACCAGTGAAAAGGTGAAAATGTGTAAGAGGTAAATAGTTTGGGCATGCCTCTGCTGACAAACTGCAAATACTTTTAAGTAGTTCTGGAAGCAAAAACAATGAATTTATGCCACTTCAACTGGCATATACTATTTTTCAAAAGTGGCAAGCCATATACCACTTTTGGCTCTCACTGTTACTCCCATATTAGGTGCCATCAAATTAAGCAAAGTATAAATGAAATAGGTTTCTTCACAGATACTGAGGGGAAAACATCCAGACCATGGCTCTACCTCCCCACTATTCTTCTCTGATGGGTTTTTCTTCAGTTCCAGTACAGTTTCACATAAGAGATTCATCATTTATTTGTCCAGCGGTAGGAATCACATCCACGCTTCACTCTTACTCTGTCTAAACGAAATAATTCATTTTCCTATTACTGCGATAAGCGTGTGAAATGAGCTATATAATCAATAGCATAGGTCTGTAAACAGCAGCCACACTCCAGGGAAAATGTGTTTTCCTTAGTAAACAATACACCGCCTGCATGTGGTAAGAATGCTCCTCTAAAATTGTTTATGAGAGCAATTTGCAGGAAATAAAGACACGAGCTGGCCAAAATGAGAACATTCTTCACCACAACCAAGGGATGATATCCAGCTAAAGCAGATTAGTTCACTTACTGTTAAATGTTTACAATAAACAATGAGTGTGTAGTGGACATATAAAGCTTTAATGACACTGTTTCTGTACTTCTGGTAGTGAAATACCACAAGGTCTGAGTAATTTTATGAATTACTGCTTACAGATACAGTATCCCTGCACCCAAATAGACCAAACATTTGTCAGACTACCAACAGCCAGAAAAGAAATACATTAGAAAGGGACGCCTGTTAATTATGTTTTTTTCTGGAAATGAATTGAATATAAATAATAAATTACATGTACATAAATATTCATTGGTCTATAACTTATTGTTGTACCTTTGCAACCAATTCATATAACGCCATCTGCCAATCAGTCCAAGAGGTCTGTCAGCAACAGACCAATCAGTGATCCCAAAGCCGAACGGCTTTCCCCTGCAGGAGCGCACTCAGACTATAATACAGTAAGAAGGCAAAGGGGACATTAGAATTTAGTTTAAATGACATTAAATGAAAGATTAAATGCTGTCAGTGGAGAACAAGCAAATCAGAGACACATTAGCCAAAGTATTTAGAGGCTGAAACAGTGGAATTTATTTCTAAAACTATAAGGGAGTCTTGGACATTGTAAAAGATGGATAAAAAGCCTGCTGTTGACGGCATGAGCAGATCTACACCCCACTTTTTAACAGAAGTTATTGTTTATTCATCTGGACGAAGGTAACCAACAGCTCATCCATGTTTAGCTTGGAAAACGCTTTTGCTGGCTAATTAACTACGAATGGGTTTAGTAATAAAAGTATATACAAGGCCATGTGATTTATAGGCATGCTTTAATTTCCACCCTATTTTTGTTTACAGACTATATTCACTCCCCCAATTTAAAAAAAAGGCGTTGGACACAGCTACACTCACAGCCAACATGACTGTGTCCATTATTATTCTCCCTCTATTAGATGTTGGGCTTTAACATTGATTTGTCTGTTGCTGCCTTGAAATAACTTCACTTACTTGTTGGGGAAAAAAAGGCCTGCTATCTTTGGCGTTCTGTTTGCTGATCAGGCAAAATGCCTCATTAAATGCCTCAGGTAATGTTGCTCTTTTCTGTGAAGCTGTTAAAATTATGCTGATTTTGTCGGAGCATTGTTTTCCCTGGCTTCTGTTTCCGCAAAGGCGGAGCGTTCTTGCAGTGGGCGTCATGTCATTTACAGACCGGTTGGCACCTTTAATGCATCTTTGGGTACTTTTGCTAATTCTTTGACACAAAATCTATCAAGCTCCAGCAGGTTAGATGCAAAACATCAGCTTGCAGCCATTTCTTAAATCTTTCCAGAAGTATTCACATTTTAGTTTGTATTCTTTTTGGGACACTAAAATTCATTCACACAGTTGGCCTTGAAATCATTAACTCCTCGTCTGGATGCTTTTCAGCCCTGTCCTGGTTGAAGATGAATCCTGAAGCCTGTCCACCTAGGATGTGTTTGTAGATTAATGCATCCATTCTTCCCTCAATCCTGACAGATCTCCAGTCCCTGCTGCTGAAAAAACTCCATTATAGCATGATGTTCCTGCCACCATGCTTCACAGTAGGGATGGTGTTCATCATGTAACAAGCAATGCCTGGTTTCCACTGAGCATTATGCCTTTTTTTTCATGTCACACATTCAATTTGGCCTCATCAGACAAGAGAATGTAGTTTTCTCACGGTCTAAGCTTCCTTCAAGGTTTTTACTAAAGGAACTACTTTTGTCAGGAATTTGTAACATACAGGTAGACGATGATGGTGAACTGCTGCAATGATGATTATCCTTCTAGAACAGGGATGTGTAACTGAAGTGCTCAAGGGCCAGTGTCCTGACTCTTTTAGAAATGTCCCTGACAAACACACCTGAATAACAATATTGGACTCTGGAGAACCTGTATGCTGGTAATGTAATCCAGCCATTTGTTTTAAGTGTGCTGGATTAAGAACACATCTCAAAGTTGGAAAAGATTTGCTTGAAGAAGCAAACTGGGCAGCTCAAGGAATAGTAGAGGTGGATCACAGGTTTCCCATAGACAGATGAAGGAGACATTGACATTGAAAGCAGCACAATAACAACATCCTTTCTGAGGTCCATGGATAATTCCTTTGACTGCATGTTTGGTTTGTTCTCTGACATTCACAGTTATTAATAATATCTTATAAAGATGACAGTTTTCAAATCTTGCTCAATTTGAATTATTACAAGTAGATTTCAATAAGCTGTAGAAACATTACAAGGTCAATCAGTGGAAACAGGATCTACCTGAGCTCAACCTTAACCTCAAAAGAAAATAAATACTTTCCAATTCCAGTGTTTAAGCGTGAACTTAAAACTGAAGTATCTCTAAAATCTTCTCAAAAGATTTTTTTATTAATGCAACACAGCTTTCCTTGCATCCATCCGTCCATTCATGCATCCATTATGCATCCATCCATGCATCCATCCATCCATCCATCCAACCATGCATCAGATTGGTAGACATTGGAAAGAGGCTGCCAATCACAACATACATTAATAGCCCATGCTTATACACATCAAACTGACAATATTTCTAATCCAAGAATTTTGACAGTGAAAAGGGGTCTGAAGCACTAAGAGACATGTATCCCAGGAAACCAGGAGACATTCAAAACCCTACCTGCTTGCTTAAATCACATTTACCCTTCTACATACTTAGATTTGCGAAAGTTTATCTTCTTATCAGTGCTTCTGAATACAGAAGTAGAGAAATAGAGAACTTTGTATTTTACACAGTATGGTGCAGAAGTTTCAGTTGTCTCATTAACATTAATGGATAATAATAAGTTGAGCTCTCTGTTTGACAAAGCAGAGAAAAATTAAGCCAATCTTTATGCAGAAGAAATGGGCTCTCACTAGATCTAATGAAGAATGTCAAAACTCAAATAATGGTCTGACTCAAACTTTTACTAAAGCTGAACAGGCTATGCTTTATCACACATTTAACTTTAATATGGAAACAGGATACTTAAAAAGAATGATGATTGATTTTACAGTTAATCCCGGGTATTATCCTATGGCTCTAATCCATGCATTTTATACTATCTGTATCATCATCCCCTGACCACATCAGATTGTTGCTATTGTATAGTGGAAGGTTATGACAGCAATACTATTTAAAAAGCCTAGCCAGTTTTTTTTTTTGCAATTCCCATTTATTTTGTAGTACTTTTAGAATCCTGTTATGGTTATTGCTCATTATTCTCATGATCAGGTTTTTGCTAAGAATAACACTGTTCCACGTTTTACTATGATGCTCATAGACTCAGAGAGGCTGCTGGAGCTCCCAGTCCATCATGATATCCACTCTGTCTGCAGCTCTTAGTGCAGGTTAAAAGACTGCACAGAATGTACTTTTAGCTTTTTGCATTAAGTTGAAAAAAGATGCAAAAAACGTTGCAAATTCTCTGAAAAAGGAGACAATTAGACTAAAACTATGGTTTAGATAAAGTATTCTAAAAGTAAAAGAAAACTGCTTTAAGCGGAATTAACTCTACATAAACAAGCTGAAGTAAGTTGAATGTGAACATTGACAGACAGAGCAAAACTTTGATTTTTTTTTTTAGAAATAACACTGTATAATGCTCTATGTTTGTTTCAAAGCAAATGATAAATCCCTTTCAGATGATATTTTGTTAAAACATAAGTTTTTCTTAACTTTATCAAAACCAATGTTAGAGCAGCAAACTGAAACCCAGTCCCTGATTAACATTAGTTGTGTCAGAAGGAACAGGAAAGCCTTATTGAAGAGGCCTGTTGAAGAACGGCAAATTATTGGAAGATTAATCACAATCAATAACCAAATTGCTGCAATCTTTGCTTTTCCAAACATAATGTAGTAGAAAAAGCAGCATGTGGCAGCAATTATTTTAACACAAATCTCTTCACACAGCATTTCTACTCATTTGAAAAAGGAAAGTTGAAGTGGCACAAACCCATTTACATCCCAAACACCCACTCCTAAAAAATCTATACACTTAAACGAAAAAAAGTGCAGCAGCTAAAGCAAAAGTTCACTTTAGCTTCTGTTTAATGTATCAGAAAGAGAACACTTACAAGTAGCTGAGTACGAAGCCTCTCATCCTCACTGCTGATCTGCTCCCTAATGATAGCTTGCTGGAGGCTGTCTAGGGTTAGGGCGCGCTCAGCAGAGAGGATCTTGGATATTTCTTCCCTGACTTTGGACTCAGCCTCAGCCTGAACATGAGCTGATGCCCGGGCCTTCTCCGCATCGTACCTGAGAAGTTAAGAATTAAAATATTCTTAAAAGTCTAACTTTGATAGAGTCCATTTCCTGTCTATTCCCAGCTCTAAGGAAAAAAATTTGTTTCCTGTTTTTTTTTTTTTTTTTGAGATACAACCAGATGATAACATGGTAAGTGGAGTGCAGGTAGTCGAGAAAAGTAAAAAGTAAATGAAGCAGAAGGGGTGTAACATACAGGGTTAACAAGAACTGGTTTCTACAGATGATAAAATGTGAATTTTGGGAACAGTAATTGATGCTTATTGGGAGAACTGACTGAAACCTGAGCATCAGTCTGGATGGGAGTCTACATGGGCACTTAGATCATGATCACTAGTTCCTCCCTTCATAAAGTTAAGAGGACATGGCAATTTTTTTTCAAATGTTTGATTATCTGATCATCAGTTCCATCTTTAAGACAAAGTTCAGCTATAAGCAAAACAAAGAGTCAAGAAAAAAGCCTGGAAAGTCAATGATCATGGAATATATGAGGTATGTCTACGCTGATTAATGAATTTACACAGTTCTGTTACTAAAGCTACAAAAAATGTCTATTTTTTAAATGAAACATCACCTGTTAAATATCACCTAAGCCACAATAGATAGATAGAAATATCTTAGAACGTTTTCAAAGATTTTAAAGGCTTTCCACCGCAGATAAGCCCAACCATAAGTACATAATAAACTTAGCCAAATGCACAGAAAAACATTTCCTAATAGGAACTGTGGCCAAGCATGGCTTTGATCTTATGCTGACTACCAATATAGACTACACAGAGGCATGATTTATCACCCCTGAGAACACTGTTGATATTCAATGTTCCCGAGTCCCGTAGCGTTCTGTTTTCAACACTGTAGGGGTACATCATGGTTTAACACAGAGGTTCACTGAACTCATTAAAGTGAACCGATTTTAGGTAAATATCGGTAGAAGCGGTCTGCATGTTTAGCTGCTGGATTTCATACACCTCTGGTCATGCAGGTGATCCATACTGTACACCTCCCAGGTTGCTTCCTGTAATTTTAAAAAGTTGCAATAAAGGGCCGCAGATGAAACAGTTTAGAAGACAAAATTAAGAGTTCTAATCGGATAACAATCAGATGTTTCTTTACTTTCTAATAACTTAAAATTAGGATAAACCCCTCTGATTATCAATAGCAATAATAATTGTGAGGCAGCATTCACAGCAGAATCTCTGCAGATGCAGGACCAGAATTTGAACCCTGTCACTGGGTTTTTCTTAGTTTCCTAGCAACACGGTTCCAACTAGGTGACAGTACGCTTGATTGACTACGGAAGAAAATCCCTGAAACCCCTAAAAGAGATTCTCTGCCAGATATCAAAACAGTCAAGCCGAAGTAGAATAAACATAGAACTGACAGAGCGAGCGAGCAGGTAAGTAAATTATGTCAACTCAATGAAGAGGAGGGATATCTTTATAAACATCTGCCTAGGATAGATGCAGAGAGATGCACAAAAGATACATCTGATGAGACGGAGAGGCTAAGAGAAACTGGAGATGTTGGTTGTATAAAATGGATCCAAAACAAGGACCTAATTAGAAACAAATTTATCTTGGGTGAAACATTTTTCTGGTTAAAATGGGGAACAATGACAGTACTTTTAAAATTATCATCTTTTTAAACCCCTGTAGGGATTTAAACTTATGAGTTATAACTCATTTTGAGCCCTCTCAGGTTTTTGCACTCCTCATTATGATAATTCAAATATCCACAAGTGTATACTCTGCAGGCATGAATATTATATAAGTTTCTTACCTCTGAGCTCTGCTATTCTTCACATTACAAGCACACACTAATCTGTCAATGTGATAGGTTTTCATCTTTTATTAGAAAACTCACATTTTGCTCCTCAGTCACGTGTAAACGCGTACAACATATAGACAGTGATGAATGGTGATGGACAGACTGCTAAAAGCAGATCACCTAGCTTTGAAAAGATGACAGGTAGGAGTAATTCGAGTATGTCCGACGTCTTTAATCGTCCCTGCATTGCAACTAGGATTTAGGGGGAGAAAAGAAAACTGAAGGAAAACGAGTGAAAGTAAAGAGAAAGTGCGAGCGGCGGCAACATGACATGTTTGGCCCTGAGGAAGTGAAGCAACGAAGGAGGGAGTCAGAGAGTGGGAGAAGGGGAGAGATGGAGGGAGACAGAGAGACCAGCCATGTCCAGTCTCACAGTCCACTGGGTTGCACACGTCAGCACACTCCATCCATCATCAGGCTCTGACTCACAGACACACAGACACATGGGGGGCCTCCTAATGGCCTTTTACATTCACCATTTCCCCCTCACAATCCACGCCTCCCTGCCTGTGTGCTACTAATGCATCTAAGCTACCTTTACTCAAGACGCTTAGACGGCTGCTACAACTAGGACTGAAAGGGAACGGTAAACACGATTTTTCTTGGAAATGTATTTTCATGTTACTTGTGTGGACCAGTAAATGCAGCCAATTCAACCTTTTGATGTCTTAGTTTTTTCGTTTTTTCTTTAACAAATATGCTTTTAGCTAAACTCTTAAGAAGAGAGTACATTAGATAAAAACATTCAAACCAAATAGAGTATATAAAACGTACAGGAAGTCTTGCAGCAAAAAAAAAAAAATATATATATATATATATTACTTTATGTGCTGGAAAAAAAACATCTCTTTGGAAAAGGGTACATTTTATATGACGCTAATCTGCAATGTTGCTCAATTAATGATTAAAGGAAAATATTAGGGCTGCAACTAACGCTTATTTTACAAATCTATTAATCTGTCGAATATTTTTTTCAATGAATTTATCAATGATCGGACAAACAAAGGTGAAACTAAAACTCTTCTATCCACAGTCCTGACTAGACCATATCAACAGACAAAAACTTTTTTTTTAATCCTAAATGCAAAATGTTAATATATTTTTCTTACATTTTGATCTAATTACTGATCTAAGTGGGAATAAAACCATAATAATTGGAAGAAACAAGCTGGTTGTTTATAAACAATTAGTTTGAAGACCTACATCTATCCTATATTTCCTATAGATATCCTATATGTTTCAGTCAATCCATCTTTCCATCTAACCTTCTCGTCACTCCCAATGGGAATGAACCAAAAAGAAATTCGACACAAAAGAACGGATTCAAAATTGTATTGCTTTAAAAAAATATATATATATTGTTCTCTTTATTGATCCCTTTAATTTCTAAATAAATCTTAAGATTTGTTGGCTAGATAAGGAAAGAAGACATTTATTTGTTTGAAGCCCCAAAAGATGACAAAAAAAGTCACATTTGACCTCAAGCTAGAGTGAACAAGAAAAAAAAGGTCCCAAATAAAGGAAAGCACGAGTGAAAAAAAAAGTCCATTGACTCCCTCACAAGTGCTAACCCAAGCAAAGACCGGTATCACCAGCGAGATGCTATCTGTCTGCTTCACCTCTATTGCTTTCCAGTCATTATTGTCCTGTCTCTGGGATATTGGGCACATTTTTCATCTGACTGTAGAAGATTGGCACTGGGAGAGAAAGGGAGGCGTTGACATGGACAATGGTTGAGTCAGATGGAGAGAGGAAATACACTGTAGCCAAGCTGCAGGATGATAAAGCATCATATCTTTACATGATAAGCGGATGTTATAATGTTTTCTGAGGGAGGGGGGGCTGCCTGGCACTGAGAAGACATCTAGGATAATCTTTGCTAAGTAACTGCTGTTTTAATCGTTTGCTGGGCTGAGTCGTGAAACAGGCAGCATCTGAGAGATTTTAATTTGAGGTGACATTAAAAAAGGAGTTATAGAAATCACGTTCCTCTGCATGATTGCATCTACACAGGGTTCATACATAGCCAAACATGCAACAGAAAATATGCAACCGAGCCACATTGTTTCACGACTCTCGACTACAATGTCTGTTAATGTGCAAAGTTCAGGTTGGCTGAATATTTGAAAGAGTAGCCAGCCAATCAAAGCCTTCCTTTAGCGCCCTCAAAGCTTATTGTCAGCTAGTGAAGAGAAGTTATGAGCATTCATATTAAAGTTTCTGTCCGAGTCTACTATATGTTGTAAAAACTTTCCACTGTTTTAATACTAACAAGGCCCGCAGCATTACATCTCCTCCACCGTGCTGAGGAGGTAAACTTTTACTTTTACACCACATCCTTTCAGACGTTTTCATGGTTAAAAAGCTTACTACTTTATCTACTTTAACTAAAAGTAAAAGTCCCATTTAAAGCCCAAGAGCAAAATGTCAGAGCTACAAAATTAAAGCCTTTCTTTATTTTTTTTTAGGAACGTTTCCACTAGTTTACTTTTTTACAGACCAATGATGTCTGACTGTTTCTATAGAGACTAGATGAATGTGTTTCAAATGGTTGAGGTTTGGCATGCTAAACTTTAGGACTCATGTACACTCCTCCTGCGTCGATATTTTTAGATTACAAAACAACAGCTAAAGCATCATAGCTTACATTTCTAATGGTTTGCCTCTAATACCTCAAAGAAAGAAACAGAAAGTGAACAAAGACGTGACAAATGAATTATTGTGGTGGCTATAATCTATATATAAAAATCCAGAAACTTTGACATTTGTTCAACAAACTGATTTTCCAAAATATTACTTTAAAAAAAAACAGTCTTAAAACATAATAAGAATAAGTGAAAGAGTTTATGACAAATAAAAATTAAATGATGAATATTTGAGATTAAGTGACAAAACAACACCCAACAACACTGTAAATATATTGACCAATAAAGTGCGACAGGCTTAAAGATCACGTCCTGTGCAAACATCCTAAAAACGGATATTTAAACAATTTCTATGTGACCAGTTGCCATCTTTGGAAGGTCCAACCTGCAGGACCAGCATAACATCCAGGCTAAACCCAGGTGCCTTGAAACAAATGCATTTAAGCATCCAATGCAATATTGATGTTGAGAATAATGTGCTAGAATGCCGTCTATGAATCTTTAATGAGTCATCCATTCTCC